CAGAGAACTTGACGGTGGGCTCACAGTATTTGCGGTGATTCAATTGAGTGGAGCTGCCGTACGTAGCAGCCCTTCGCCGATAAGCAGCAGCTGACGAATCTATCCGCCCCTCCGACCGACTGAGGCTCAGCACATCGACCCATCCGCCCGTCCGATGACCACCGATTTCACCTTGAGCGCTCGCCTGATCAAGCCACTCACACGATGCGGGCATCGCGAGCAGGGGCGGAATCCTTCTTTCGATGTATTGGAGCTTGCAAGAATTCTTGCATGAATTCGTATGCATGAAAATGCCGGAGTATTTCCATTGGATGCTCTGAGGAGATAGCAAGCTCTTCCCGGAGCACAAACGGGTGGATGAAGAATCGGGTGTTGGGTACATCGTCTCCGTGGACCACGCGAGAACGGTGAATGTGGAACATGGTTGGGCATTCTCATTCCCAGAATGGTGGGTCTCCTAGTTCTCTAGAATTTTTCTTCTGACTGTTCCTACATGCCGCGGAAAGTGCCTACATACGTCAAGATTTATGGAAGGCATCCTGTGTCGAGGGGAATTCGTCTCGAATCACGAATTACACTATGTGGCATGATATCTCTCAGGCATGATATCTTGCCTTTTTTCACCGTTCGCACGGTCTTGGGATGATCATCAAATCAGACTCCCGTGGCGGATTACTCCGATTCCCCGGAGTAGCGTTCTGAAATCTGCTCCTCCAAGCCTCGGAAATCATACGGGATATGGGGATGCAGGGTGAGATCGTGGTCCTCATAAATCTTCCTGAATTCTCCCTTGAGGGACTCATCTGCGCATAATCCCAAGTCATCGAACTTCCCGTCCGCCGAGCGATTGGCTCCGCTCAAAGCAAATTTCCTCCGTGTGGACGGAGAAGCCGAAAAGTGGGCGAGAGAGCGCACAATCTCTAGCCGAGATTCCGAGCGAGACCGAGACCGATGGGAGGCGATCATTCCATCCGTACCATCGGACTAAACTTGGTACTCGGTACGATTGTTCGGAAGTATTTTGGGAGAATTCAAAGGCATTCGCTATCCGTATGTGGGCATAATTAGTTCAAGCTCCTGCTTTCCACCATCTCATTTCCTTAGCCCTTCTTATCAATGAGCTTCAGACTCCGAGGGGTGAACCCGCTAGCCTGGAGACGACGCAGGGAGTTCCCACCTTCTTCTCCCTGTGAGGAGGTGCTGCGGTTTAGAGCCCCGTAGCGCTCATTTTTGATGCGGGGTCTCCACGCATGCCTTCACGTCGAGCTCATGTGAAATAGCTTAGATGTACGGAAGAGCTTCTTTTCACGGTACGCGAGGGTTCGGCCGTGGGTCCGGCGGCCACCGTTTTAGGGTGTACCGTACGCGTCTATCTGTTTATTTTCCCTGCGATGGAAGATGTCGATTTCGTTTTGACGAGCGGAAGCGGAATGTGTCCGCGCGTGAAATATCGCGGAGCCAATGCCAACAACTCTGGCATGAAGCATTGAAATGTGCACAATTTGTGTATCTATCACTTTGGAAGACAGGAATCTGGTCCGACAAAATTCATTTCCGAGCGCCATGAACGACATTTGATTCGATATATGATTGAGCGTAGTGACGAAAAAAAACTATGTGGGAGAAATCACGGGACGCTCCTCTTTCGGGATCAGTGATGTCTCGGAAGATCGAGTTTTTGACGCATAGCAACGCTTCGGAATTTTGCTGTCATTTCTATGGCCTGAGGTTTTTGGCGATCGATGACGTGACGGCACGGGTCACTTCGAAGCTTCAGTGTTATTCACTGCGCTTGCGTAATTGATCTGAGCGAACGGATGTATTCCCCTCCACATTGGAGAAATCATTTGTGATCGTATGGACTGAGCTCCTACCGCGGAGACGGCTTGTGTATCCCGATAGCATGGAAATTTGCTTTAAAAGCTCTTGAGGAAGTATTTCTAGCGGTAGAAGTCCCGTGGCGAAGGTGAAGAGTCATTCCTGCTGTTGGCCGCATCGCTGAACCGACGTCTGTGACTTGTGAATGAAGCAAGTAGTGCATCACTTGCACCCGAGTGGTGGGTGGGAGCCTATCGATGATAATCCTGAGGGCCTCTCGAAAAAGAGAACGAGTTCCCCGGCCCTTCCCTCATCTCCGCAAAAGTCTTGCGTGCGCACCCTGCGGTGGGTACGACCGCATCTATCGAGACGCTCATCCCTCGTATCCACTTCTCGTGTCTCATGATGATTGAGTCAACTATCAATACGGACTTGCTTAGATACATTATTGTAATCGTTCGGGATGGTCGTTGATACGAAAATTGCGAGCGCTGCTCCGAAGTAATTATGGTGCGGCCGCTGCCGACAAATCCCCCTCGGTTGCATGGGCAACCGATAGGGAACCCAGGGATTTCGGGGTGGGAAAAAAATCCTCACAAGGAGAATGAAGTGTGGCGTCTCATCATCGGATCGCATGCTCGTCTCTCACAATTAAGCGGAAAGCGAACAGCTCCGACAAACACCGACTCACGTTACAGCATTTCTCACTAACCCAGACCGTGAAAAAATCCGGGAGTTCCACTCGACGATATTATTTTCCTTCCAGCCGGGAGACGGAGCGAAGGCTCATCCAACAACTTAGATGTACGTTCCCGGGTGTGGAGCCGAACGTCGCTCTGTGGTTCAAGACCCAATGATTTACTTAGCATTGAATCGCTGACTTGTGACGCCCAAGATTTTTTAATTTCGGGCTTGGGAGTTTCCTCATGAGCTGCTCCCCTGACGGGAAACGACTTGTGAGAATACTTCGGCGCGATTCGGCTAGCAGTGATCTAGTGTGATTATTAGACGCTGCGGGATGCTGGACTTGGATGGATTGAAGTGGATGATTCACAAGAGCTGCTTTCGGAAAATTCGAGGGATGCTCTGAGCATTCCGTGAGCTAGAAAGCTCGAAGCCTAATGCAGATCTATGAATCCACGATTGTTTGAGCGTACTCATGAATGCATAGTGAAGTATACGCGGACAACTATTGGAAGTGGGCACGACGCATCATCTATCAGTCTATTCATGAGTTGATATTCGATTCCGATTGGCTATCTCATTTGTGAATTTCCGCTCGATCAGCACAAATCAATATCGGAGGAGGAACTCAGGAGTTTTCCATCGCAGAAACGAGATATCCAACATGGCTAATAACACAGCCCGACAGCCAAATCGCTACAAGGAAAGTAATAGCTGGGTAGGGGTGAATCGAGGGCGTAGAAACCGAATCTCTTAACAGATTTCTTCTAAGAGGCCCAGTTTTTCTGATTTCAACTTTTTGATTTTTTGCTATTTTTCGTCTATATAATGCTCTAACTCCGCTCCTGAGTGGACTAGATCGATGAAACTTCGGGAGCGGGTAGAGCTAGGTTAGAGCTATACCTGGTCGAGTGCCCGTCGGTGTGTGCCAGCGTCAGCGAGTGCTCGCATTCGTACGTCGCCCTGCTGGCGGGGCCATAGAACTGAGGGAGTCAGCACTGGAGATTGAGCCCGAGTGAGCGTATCAGAGGCGGCCGATTGGACCGGAGCGTCGTAAATGGCAGGATACAGAGCAACCCAAATCTTTCATAGAGCAGAATCTGCGTACCCTGCGTGCATGCTCCGCATATCGAATGATGATCGTTTTCCGCTGGCCGTTAAGGTGACTCTTATCCCGCCCTGCATTCACTCAGGCACCGATCAGGCTGTCGGGAGGTCTTGCATTGAGGGATATATCCTGAGACACAGCCGAACCCCCCCCCCCCAAGAATTATCCGCCGTAAATTGCGATCCGAGACGACGTGGAGCTACAGGGCCGGTGACTCCAAAGATTTATGACAGCAGGAAGACCATCTCGCTCTTCTGGAGCCGCGCGTTAGGGAAAGAAGGATTCCGAACGAGCGTCCGAACACTCGGTGACTTTCGAGGCCCGGCAAACAGACTATACTTTCTTCGATTCCCATCATCAGTATCAGACGTAAAACGTTCAGACCAGTGGACCATCCGGTCCCCTCTCCCCAAAATCTCTGCGGACCAACGCATCATCATTCTCAGATCTCCCCTCCGGGAAAGAGATTGGACCGTTTTGCTGGGAACCAAACCTATGAGTGGATGGGGACGAGGTGAACTTCCATCATTCTAATTTTGGCCAATACTTTTAGGGATTGAACTCGAGATCTTCAATTGAGAATCGGGAGCATGAGACTATGCCATTAGATACTAGCGCTTATGGAAGCTAATGGAGTACACGCAGACTTGGGATGCCTCATGGAAGCCGGACCCTACCGAGGGGAATGTGCGCTGGATGTGAGCTCGTCTTCTTCGCCTCCGCTGATTGCAACAGGGAGACTGAGAAAAGCCGACCCCTCATTCATGGAAGTTCCCGAAGCTGACGACTCTGCTCGAACATAGAGTCCGCATCTCATTGATCGTAATCGATCACCCGCCCGACAGAGGATACCCCGGGTCCTTCCAAACGACGAAAAATACCGTTCCCGTAATCCTGGATTCTATTCATTCCCATGAAGACCCCTCTCCGCCGAAGAGGGTGCCGGTATCAAAGTCCCGGGGAAATTCATCCGATTATACCCAGGATCCAAGCGACCCGAGGATGGTGATGATTTGATGAATGATGTAGTTGTGGAGGATTGCCCACAGTCCACATTAACTGTACGCCTGCTTTTGCTTCTTATATATCACGACTCATGACGACCATGACAGCCCTCGGCAGCACAAGCAGCGAAGAATCACAGTTTCATTTTCGAAAATGGCCGCTTCAACCTTCGTTCGAGGAGTCGCGCGGAGAATTCCGCTGAACCGCAGATCCATTTCTACTTCTTCCCCAGCATTGCTGCGAATCCGCTTCTTCAGTTTCTTGGACCCAATCTTCAATCGAGTCGATGAAGCCCGAATCAAAGAGTGTGGTCCCGATCGAGCCGCTGCAGAATGGATAGTCAGGTGAGAACGAAATGCAATTCGTATATACCCCTCGCAGTCTCTCAATTCCTCGCGGAATATTTTCGATAAGTTCCCAGCGGTAGGTAGCTCACGCTACGGCTTCGGGGAGCCTTCGAGCTCCGATGTCCCCGGCAGATGCGGAGGCTCGGTGCGTTGGGTCGGTGCGGAGAGATACCACAGTGACTACAACAGCCTGCCGACCGGGAGGACGGCTATTGAAGCCATCGACGCGACGGATACCTGTATCATGGACATCGCGTTTCCTTACCTCAAGTGAGCATTTCGAAGTCGGGTTCTGTCCTGACATGCCTTCCTGTCGGCTCGCTGCACCAGAACTCGCATATGCCACCGGCAAACGGATATCTCTTGATATTCCAGGGACTTGAAGCATCTCAAGGAACTCGACCTCACTTCGTGTCCAAATGTCGACGATAACTGCCTTCGTCTCCTCGTTAAGTACAGGCAGGAGGACGGTCTGCAGAAACTCAAGATCGAGGCGTGCCCAAGTGTCACCGATGCCGGCCTTGATCGACTGGTCGGGCTGAAGGCGCTGCAGTCACTAGATCTGTCGAAACTCTACGGAGTCCAAAATCCCGAAAGATGTCTGAGCAAATTGAGAGAGTCACTACCGGACTGCAATATAAACTTCCGGTTCCCGACGGCCAATAATTGAGGAACCGGAAGAATATCGCGTATGAATTACTATGTCCTTATGGTGTGGGTGGAATGGCGAGAATGAGCTGGGCAAAAGCAGCGGATACCGCAGCCATTATGGTCGCCCATCTAGGGGGCAACTCTCAGGATGGTGCTTCTGAGTCTCTCTAGCGACGGGAGGGGGGGAAGCGTCCCAAGGGTTCCCATAGCTCTCGTGGGAGGCTCGTCCAATTGACCTCCCTACGACCTCTCCGCGATCTCCTTGCCGAGGGCTCATATCCATTGAGTCGGCAATATTCCCCACCAAGGCTTCCCGGGACAACACGGATAGCCCCGGATGCCGGAGGCTGCCTTCAAGATTATACCTAGAGAGCAGGGGGGACTTCCTGTAGCGTGGAGGAGACGCTCAACTCAGAAATATTATTTGCCCGTTCGCTTTTATTGTACAGTGATCTGAGCCCGCGATCCTCTCGCGCCGGATCTGAGCCCGATGACCTCAATGCCTCAATGACGGTAATTGCGCCTATCGTCTCGTCTCGAGCGCTCTCTCGGGTCAGGTGAATACTTCTTCCGCCGATCTCGACGATCTCTCCGGCTCGAGCTGCTCCTGAAATACAACGACCAGAGCAGTTATTCAGGAGTTCGAAACCCTCCCCGATGACTCGGAAAAACATCGCGAAAGTTGCAGAAGAGCGAACGAATGTGCTCACCTGTCGCGCCGCTCTCGCGAATTTTTCCTACTCCGTGATCTGGACCTGGAGCGGGATTTTCTGGACTTCCTGCGTTCTCGACTCCGACTCCTGTTCTTCTCAAAGCGCCCGTGACTTCTGGATCGCCGGTTCCGTCTTCTCTCACGGCTCCGACTGCGGCTCCTTTCTCGACTTCGACTTCTCTCTCGGCTCGAGCTCCGCCGTCTCTGAGTTTCACTTTCGCTTCCGGAGTCGTAACGATCTTCAGGGCGATATTTCGCGAGGTGTTCTTTCAGAAGTTCCTCTCGGTGCTGTCTTTCTTCTCGAGCCTTTTCTTCTTTTTCCAACCGAGCTAGCTGATCGGTCTGATGAGTTTTTCGTAGCATCGCTTGCATCTTTCGCCGTAGTCTTTCCTGGGGAGTGAGTTTACCCAGCGGTCTGCTGTTCGTGTCAGCGGACCTTTTAGCGGTACGATGATGATTCATTGAATCCTTCCTGTCAGAGGACTGGCTGACGGACTCGTCCTGCGAAAATCCATCTGAAGAGGCGTCCGATTTCAAGTCATGTCGATAGTAGGATCTCCGCGGCGGAGTCGGTAACTTCGGTCCTGGTTTTGGCGATGTCGACCTGGAATCGGGGAAATCGATTGATTGATTGATTGATTTATTAACCATCCCTGGTGTTACAAGGTTTACATTGTAACCAGGAGACCCCATGCGCGGAGACCCCAATCATGATTTGGATACATTCCCGAAAAACCAACGGATCAGCCGAAAGGATCGTCCCGGACCCGCAGTTTGTTTCATGTCCAAGGAACTGGAATCCCGTGCTCCGACGGTGTCACGGAGCTCCCATGAAAAAAGAGGTCTCGAGCACGAGCTAGGAGCTCGGAGCCTCTGGACGAAATTATCCACGGTCTCTGGGCGGTGAGCGGAGCCCGGGTCGGACCAGTGAAACGATACGCTCCGTCAGCTCGACGGGCAACGCGAGAACGAGACCGGTATGGCACACAAATTTTCACCTTTTCCGACTCCGTGAGCTGCTGCTGCTGGATGAAGATTTTCTCTGGTTCCCTCGCCTTGCTTTCCGTCTTCGTCTTTCCCTCGAGGATACCGAATCGTCACTCGAAGACGTCGACGAGCGTCTCCGGCGAGATTTCCGAGGACTGCGGCTCCTCGATTTATTTCGTCGGACTGGAGACAATTTCACTTCGTCACCAGAGTCGCCTCCGAACGATGTTATGAAGCAAACCTTCGAAACAAACGGATTTAGTTGATCTCGTGAGAGTCTCCATTTTTTTTCTCCCTAACAGAGATCCCACTCAGCGCCATCCTCGCCGACTTCCTGACTTCGGAGAGCATGAGTTGCCCCGTTCTTCCGACTGATGTGACCGGTCAGCGACCTTCCGATGGGAAAAGTTAAAAAAGTCTTGTGGACGCGAAGGAGTCGGACAGGCTCGTAATCAAACTCACCCTGTCTTTGTGATCGGGAGACGGCGATCGCGAACTGGACTTTTCCCGAAGGAGTATTTTGGCTTGCTCTTCGTCATCGTTTTCGACGGGAACGGCTGCGTAGGCGGGAAGTCCCATCGAGATTCCGATGTCTCCAGTTCGGATCGTGTTGAGGTCTCTCGCTCGAGCCTGCAAAGCCAACGAATGACCTCTGCTCTGTTTCTCAAGAATAGTTCTTCGCATAGTTCTACGGGCTTAGCCCCCAGTCCTCGCGACGCATCGCCTGGTGCAGCAATGGAGGTTGCTGACGAAGATTCCAAAGGCCTTCTTTTCGTCTCCCACCTGCTCTCGAGCCCTGCGTCTATCCCTGCGATTCCTGCGACCTGCTGCACGTTCCTCCTCGACGGCACGAGCCTCTCGGAGCGCCTCGAGGTCCGCTTTGTCCTGGACCAGCTGGTCAATGAACTCAGTGCCCGCCAGCCCTATAGGAAATTCGATTAGAACGAGCTCCGATGCGAGCGATCGATATTCTAGCGGATCGAGGTTTCTTGTCCGTCGCATTAGCTTGATACGTCGATTCGGGAAGATATTCTCCCTCGATCGATACTGCAGATGTTCGCGAGAAAGGGAAATCGACACATCTATCGCAGAAGGAGAACGACGAACGGGACAGATTGGAACTCAGCAGAAAGGAAAGGTAGACAGATAGAGAGAGAGTAAGGGAAGAGTAGCAGAAAAAAAATCCCCACCATAAGTGGTCGACAGAGCATTCATTTCCCGAGCCTGTTCTGGAGGAATTTGATCGACGTCGAACGCGATGTCGAGATCGATCTCCTCTTCGGATGCCTCTTCCTCATTGTCCTCGTCTCCGCCCTTCTGTTCATCAGGGATCGACGGCGCGTTCTCGCTGTCTTCATAATGGTATCCGATGGCCGCCTTCTTCTCGGACAATTTCCTCTTCTCGGCTTCGATATCCTGCTTTTTCTGCACCGAACCTCCGAACCTACAGTGGGGGAACACTCGTAAATCGAAGGGCCGAGCTCCACAGAATACGACGATAGGGAGGTTTAGCAGCGTATATGCATTGAAACGACAGGATGAATTCCCTTGAAGATCACGGCCTTGCGCAGCATGTCTCAGGTAAGCTTCCCGATGACCGACCTTTCTTCGAGGTAGATCTGATGCAAAAATTTGTTCTCTTTGACATCGGAATAGTCGTTCTGCACAAGAATCCTGTAGCGTTCATAGTTGATCTTCGACTCCAACTCGTCCACCTCTTGAGGCGTATCCTTGTACTCCGGGATGACATCGAGATGTGCCCGCACGTCGAAACGATCGATGATGGTGTCAGGATTGCCCTGCCAAGGCATCATGGTTGAAGCCGCCTCCGCCTGCTGAGCTATGACCGGGTCGATGTGGATTTTCAAAGCCCTGCCATGGAGCTGGAAGACAGAGGAGAAGATGAGAAAAATTCGCCGGCAGCGTAGCTTACTGTGACTGAGAGGGATACAAGAACATTTGTCGGGTATTCATCGAGTCAACAATATATCTGTTTTTCCGCTCCTAGTCTCCTCTATCACCGATGGAAGAGTTCGGGGAACCGTACCAGCGTTTTCCACAGATAAACTGACGGAGTTACTTCACACTTCTTGCGCCGGTCGGCACTCATCAGTGTAATCATCGAGTTGAGACCAGACTTTCGCATAAGTTCGGGGTTACTCACTTGCATGAACTGGGCAGGATCCGTCTTGATCTTATCGTAATACTCTCGACGTCTCTCGGCTCTTTTCTTGTAGTCGATCATCATGCCGCGCAACTTTTTCTCCTGCTTGCGCGCCTCGCTCCACATATCGCTGCCTCAGGGTTTCGTATCGACGACCAGGGAGTTACCTAGAACACCCAGCGAGCATTCTATGCCCCGCACAGTTGTCACAGAACTTGCTCGTTCACTTCACCGCTACTCTCTTTGTGTTGTGTGGAGCGGACGCTTATTGCGTTTAGAGCGTTTCGAGGGAATCCGACACAGAATACCACTTCGGTATTATGTTTGGGTTTTGCAATCAAGTGAACCGCATACACACGGATCTTTGTTTACATACAGTAGAGGGAGGCGGCGTCGAGTAATCAGCCTCATGGGCAGAGACGGTCGAGTTTCGTCTTGCTATGCAGAAGCATGAGTGTCTTGAGGTTTTCTCGAGTGAAATGAAAAAAGTTCATTATTAAAGCGCGTACACAGACGACGACTGACTACTGTTATTGCGCTCTTGCTATCTTCTCTCCGAGTTAGAGAGAAGAGACGACGACAGCACATCACTCGCCGAGATATCCGAGCCCGCGAAATTTCAAAATATATCTCGAGCATTAATGCTCCCGGAATAATGAAACCTTTTGACTTATTCACCCTTGACGAATAGTTCGGTTAGATGTTAGTGATTGATAAATAAGAGATCACGTATACACATTTAGAGTTATATCACATGATCAATGGTCGCATTTGCATCCACTGCTTGCTTCAGTTCTCCGTTTGCGCCTAATCTCCGCAGCGAGCTGAAATATTCGCACTTCGCAGCGTGGTACCGACTACAGCTTTCCCACAGTCTTCGCACCGGCAGTTTTCGTTCGGCTCGTGGTAGCCTCCGGACAGACATTTTTTGCGGTGGAATCCATGTATCGCGAATCGGATGAGGAGATGTCTATTTCTGCGGTCGAGGCCCTTCCATGTATCATCCGTCATTGCGCGGGTGCTGAAGAAGTCGCCGTCTATGTCGGCAAACTTCCTTTCCCATGCTTGGAGACACTTCTCGTACGATACGGTTTTGGCTAGATTGAGTTGTTTCTGGAGATCCTCAATGGACAGGCTCGTGTCTGCTAGGCGGTAGACCAATCTGTTCCTGGAGAATCGATGAAGTCCCATCACTCGCTTGAGGTACTCGGCCTTCGTACGGTTTCGGTCCTCTAGACTCTAGATTTACCCCACTAAGGTAGTTCCAAATGATCTGGATGCCGTACGATGCTGTGGGCGCGATGGTGAGGTTGAACAGACGAATGGCGGTCTTCATGGAGAGCTTCCGGGGATCCTTGATCGAAGTCATGGCCACTCGCGCTTTCCTGCATCTTTCCCTCACATGCTTAGGGAAGGAACTGCCGTCTGAGGGTAACGTGATTCCGAGGTATGGGAAATGATTGGAGTACCTCAGCTCCTTGCCGTTCATTCGGAAGGAGTCGTCCCTTGCTAGTCGACCACCTCGACGAAATTTCATGGTTTTGGTTTTCAGCGTGTTGATCTTGAGGCCCAGTTTTCTGGTCTCCTCCGTCGGTCTGCCGAGTGCTCTTGTACATGGAAGTGGTCGCGGCCATACACGACTAGGTCGTCCGCGTACAGGAGAGTTTTCACCATCTGTCTCTTTCCTTCCACCGCCGAGGGGAGATCGTTCGAAAGCCCGGAGAACCCTAGCGGGGACCGAGCTCCCGAAATAATTATACATATTCAGAGGATGACTCCGGAGTGTACAGATTTCTTCGGAAGAGACTACCCACTTGTGAAATGCAATTGAATCAACCCGAGCGGCTAGATCTTTTGCTTGTCGTACGACTCTCTCGGGGAGTACCTGGAGTCCCTCGACTCCGATTTTGACATGATGCAATTTTGGGAAGATTATGGCATAGTGGCATTGAAGTCGTATTGAATGGTCGTCGCTCGATCCGAAGTGAGAGTCGGACTCTTTCTAGTCGAAGGTAGCCATCTCGTGCCCTGATATTTGGAAAAATTAAATCTGATTCACGGCGGGCAAGGTTGAAGTAGCGAGCAGCTCCTATCACGTTCGATCATTGCCTGCTTGGGGCGAATGAAGATCTTGGTCCGGTATGGGCGATTTTCCTTCCGCACCATTCTCTTATGAGAGGAAATCAATACCGAGAAGTTCTCCGAGCCGTGCCAAAGTCAGTCGCAAGAGGACGATTCAACACGTGAGCGAAGCACTTTCCAATACCTACGAAAGACGGTCTGATGATGACTCCGGATGTAAATTTTCCGCGGCGAGCCATCGCTGGAGCCGCGGTGAAATTTCGTGGACTTCGCGGTGAATCTCGTATTCCCCTCGGGAATGCAATTTTCCCTTCGAAAACGCGATTTTCGCAGCGAAAGCGCATGGAGAGTGCATCCTGGACTCACATGTGCTCCGCGAGTTTGTGTTTCGTGTCGAGTCCTGGACCAGGCGTCTTTCCGAACCCGTGGCGTAGCTCAAGCAATATCCGAGTGTCACCGAACTCTGTCGAGGATCGGATTCCGGTCGATTTCCAGAGCCTAATTTCCCTATCAGGAATGAGTGTCTTTTGTATTCGAAGGGAATCCGATGGAGTTTATACGAATATCTCGGGCACTGCTGGAAATTGCCGAAAATCGCGGTTCATTCCACAGTTCTGCCGATAATCACAGCCCGACAAAAAAAAAGTCTAACGGACAAGCTGAGGTCTATTATGGGGTAAATCGGGGTCGCTGATTCCGAAGCCGACTTCAGAATTATCAGACGAGCTCTAGTTTCCAAGTTACGATGATCATGGATCATGGGTGTCAATGCGGAAAAAATTATTTCCGCATTGACACCTATATATGTACATAAGTATCTGCACATACCCACCAGCCGTCGAGCGCGGCCGGAGGCCGCGATCACGACCACGAATAAAGAGAACGATCTCCGCTCTACGAAATCAAATCCGTGCCTTTCGAACCAGATTTGGAGGACAGCGTACCTCAGTACCACATAGTACCTCATGAGTTTCGTGGTCAAGAAGGAGGGTTTTTCGACAACCACTGGGTGGAGGGGCATAGGATGAGAAAGAAAACATCGAGTTGCACCCCGGGACATGATTCCGCAACCGCCGAAGCAAATGTGCGCGGAAATTGGTGGGCAGAAAGAGCCGAAAAACGGCTCACAAACGAAGCGCTTGCGCTTTCATCCTATAGGGGGGACCGAGGTGATATAAAAGCGAATGTAGGTGTGTCTGTGGCTCACCTATAGACCCCCTAACCGTTAAGCAGATCGGCGTCATTTTTGGTTTGATGGTCCACCCGGAGTCCCCGAAGGTTCTTAGGGGTTCGCTGCGTGTTAGCGATTCACCGTTCCACCGAAAACCAAAATTATTGTGTCCAAGTTGGTGCTTCGTCGCTGGATGTGAGTTTCAATCTACGGTCGCTGGGAACGGGTGGAACAGGGAGACAGCTAGATCAACAGAAAGGGGGTAAATGGGTGCGTGTTCAGACCGTGGCAAGTCTGGGGACTTCCCTCGCCCAGGGAAATGTGGGGACAGAGAGGGCGGGAGGAAGGGGAAGACGGAGAAGTCTTGAAACGGATCAGCACGAGCGGGGAAAACTAACCCGATTCGAACCCATCGGAGAGGGAATCAGCCGAGAAATTAGCACGGGAAGATGAGGGGGAGGGGACTGGACATCACGATCATCAGTTTAAAGAGCAGAAACAGAAATGTAGAGGGCAGTTTCCGGCGAGGTTCAACAAGGAAGCACATATATCCGAATTCAGTGATTCCCGTTCCTCATTCACTGCTGCTGAAAATAGAGGACAGGCAGACGCGTTCTGCTGAACGGATGGAGGAAGACTTTGGAGCCCCGGGAGAGGGGGGGAAATGGAAGGGACTTGGGAAACGGGGTATATAGGGACCACGGAGAAGGGAAACGAGGGAACGGAGGGAGAAGGAGTAAACGGGGGGAAAGGTAGGGAGATGAGTGAAAGATACGGGGGAACAACGGGAAGCGTTGTAATCGAGAGGAGCGGATCGAGCATCGGAAAGGAGGATATAGGGGCAAACGGGGAAAAGAGAGAAACAGGGGTTTAGAGAGAAAGGGGATTAAGGGGTTGCAGAGAGAAAAGGGGGTACAGAGGGAAACGGGAAAGAATTGAGAAATTAGACGAAAATGAGGATATAAGATGAAACGGGGCGGAAGGAGAAGGGAGATGGAGGAAATTGAAGAGAGCGAAAATCGGAAATACGCGCATAGGGAAAAACAACAAACGGGGAGGAACACGGGATGCTCGCGGCAATGGGCGACGGGCACGGCTAGGTATAGGTACAATCAATCATTGTGCTGATCAATGATCCTTTTGATGATGAATGTCTTATGAGTCTCTCCAGAAGGGCCTGTGGGCCAGGATGAATCCGAAATTCGTCATAATCGGGTGAATAGGAAATCCCAGATCAATTATTTTCTTCAACCGAAGAAACTCTCCGACTAATTTATAAACCTGATGGTATTCTCACCGTGAATATAAACGAGCATCATTCAGTCGAGAAGATCATCAGGGTACTGGAGCGTCTGAGTGATCCTCTGCCAGGGAAGAAGCATGCCGCTGAAGGAACTGCTCTTGGAGAGCTCAGAGGGAACCTCCCACTGCGATCCGCACAAGAAGGCCATCTACTTAGCTTCTTGAAGAACGAGGATTCCTCAGAGAGCGCCGACGCCCTTGACCATAGAAAACGACGAAAGAGTGGATGTCGACTTCGCGATCTAGGCAATGGGAACTGAAATCCCGCTTCATTGGACCTTCGAGACGGAAAAAGTGAATCCACGATTTCAAGCTCCCCAAAATGAAATGGCTGGCCCAATTCGGCTCCTTCGAGTTCTCCCTAATAGCTCATGCGGAAATTCTTACTATTGTATGAATGCCCGTCTACGGGTTGCCGGAAGGCTCTCTCGACTGAAACCGGCTCGGCGTGCATCGCAGGTCGGCGCACCGGGGAGAAACAAATTCGGAATAAGTGGCAGAGTCCACAAAAGCTCGCCGAGCCAGAGTTGAGTTTGATCTTCTTGTGCAGTCGGTTTCATCGTCGCCACAGGCTTCATGGTCGCTATCGCAGCTGGCTTCAGTCCTGACGCCGCACAAGGGGCCAGCGGCGGCCAAAAATACCTTTTATTTAACGGATGACGATTGAAGCTTCCCAGATGGTCTGTGATGACGGGAAGAGTACCTAGGTGGCCTAAAATTTCCTCAGTAATCCGAATTTCGACTCAGAAATTTGATCCGAGCAAAATTCGAGGACCTAGAATGGTATATTGTCTGAAAATGAAGAACGCGAGAGATCTACCGCGATCGAAAGCACCAGAAGGGCGATTTCCGACACCCGAGGGCTAAGGCCGTCGATTGGAAACAATGTTGGGAGCTCGAATTAGCTCCGTTTGATTCGCGAGCCGGAAACAATCGAACATGAGGGATATATGAGAATAGGCAGATTTCGAATTTATTCGCATTGTTTTCACTCGATCGTGGACTGAGCCGAGAACCGTCTCAGCCCAGAGTGTCAGTTTCTCTCACAGAGGGCTCTTTCGAATTAATTCGAATCGATTTCTACACTATGCTGAATCGAAACCATAAGCGTCACAATTTTTCAGAAGGTATCGCGAATCTTCATCGAGCTCATATTCACTCGTATCACTCGATGTTCAACGATGGAGATGATCACGAAGAATGAAAAAGTGTTCGACTGTTTCTGCCGAGCATTCGCTGAGGATGCACGTGATCCCAGCGTGGAAATCGATTCGAAATGAGAATTCTGTGAGAGAAGTTGACACTCTGGGCTGAGTGGGTTCTTGGCTCACTCCACAATCGAGTGAAAACAGAGCGAATCAGTTCGACAACAGTCTATACTCATATATCCCTGATGTTCGATTGTTTTCGGCTCGCGAATCCAACGGAGCTAATTCGAGCTCCCAATATTGTTTCCAATCGACGGCCCTAGCCCTCGGGTGTCGGAAATCGCCCTTCTGGTGCTTTCGATCGCGGTAGATCTCTCGCGTTTTTCATTTTCAGACAATATACCATTCTAGGTCCTTGACTTTTGCTCGGATCGAATTTCTGAGTCGAAATTCGGATTCCTGAGGAAATTTTAGGCCACCTAGGTACTCTTCCCGTCATCACAGACCATCTGGGAAGCTTCAATCGTCATCCGTTAAATAAAAGGTATTTTTGGCCGCCGCTGGCCCACTGTGCGGTGTCGAGATTTCGCGGTGGGCTTCGATGTCTTTTTTTTTTTCGGGCTGATCCACACAGCCAAGGTTTAACGTCCCGGGTACTGTTATTCACATTGCTTCCGAGGACGGATCCATAGAGCAAATGTACCCAGGAGGATCAAGGCCGAGTACCTGCATATTTTTCCGGCAGCAGGGATCGAACCCACACCGCCTCCCGCGCGAGCGGCGTCGTTGCGGCTATGCACGTTTGCACGAAAAGTGACAAACGCGCTAACCACTCGACCACCCGTCGGTGGGCTTCGATGTCTGCGCGACGGTTTTCACCTTCTGCAGCTGTTGAGCGGTCTGCTTCGCCATCTGCTGTTGTGCCAAGGCCGCGGCCTGGGCCGCAGCTGCCTGTTTCTGTCGTAGAGCAGCCGCCTGCTGCTGGCTTGCTGCCTTCGTTTTGCGTCTCCATTCGATCCACGCGGTGACTTCCGGTTGTCTCGTGTCACCTTTACTGTCGAGTTGGTTGTAATAGGCTTCACGAAGCACGCGATATTTTTGGAAATTAGCGTAAGCGATGTGAGTCACGGGATCGAAGTATCTGGCGTATTGACGTGAGATCGGACGGAAGTTCATCGTCGCCACAGGCTTCATGGTCGCTATCGCAGCTGGCTTCAGTCCTGACGCCGTTCTAATAGATGTCGCGGTGGGCTTCGATGTCTGCGCGACGGTTTTCACCTTCTGCAGCTGTTGAGCGGTCTGCTTCGCCACCTGCTGTTGTGCCAAGGCCGCGGCCTGGGCCGCAGCTGCCTGTTTCTGTCGTAGAGCAGCCGCCTGCTGCTGGCTTGCTGCCTTCGTTTTGCGTCTCCATTCGATCCACGCGGTGACTTCCGGTTGTCTCGTGTCACCTTTACTGTCGAGTTGGTTGTAATAGGCTTCACGAAGCACGCGATATCCTTGGAAATTAGCGTAAGCGATGTGAGTCACGGGATCGAAGTATCTGGCGGGTTGACGTGAGATCGGACAGAAGTTCTTCGTCGCCGGGCGAGGTTTGTGTTGAGGGAAGATCTTTTTGAGGATCGATTCATCTGGGAAGGTGATGAAGTTCCGCATG